TCCTACTTGGTGCTAAAGTTCAGTCAAGCAGATCATTGCAGTGTTGCTCATCGACATTAAACTACTATCGCATCATGCTGCGTTGCCTAAATCGGCAATATCACTTTCCACCAAGATTCAAGTAAACGGCTATAAGCCTTTAGGAACTAAAACTACCTATAAGCTCAAAGACCAGGAGCTCAGCAAGAAGAATAAGCTGTAGGGTTATCCTCCCATCATCACTGTCCAATCACACTGTAAAGAGAGCCTTTGTTGCTTAGACGGGTTTCCCACCACGCACCCAATGGATACAACTCTAGTTTGCTCTTCACCGGGTCTCTCATATCATCCAACCATTGGTGTTCCCACTGCTCCTTCGTGCTGACTACTCTTATAATGACTACAAAGAAAACCAACTTGTCAAAAGGCAAAAATACCTAAAACAGACAAGGAGAAAAAAGCACAAATTAACTCCCATTCATCGCGGATAACAATTATCCCTATCTCTCAATCCTAAGATACTTCAACAATACGTGTTTCTTAAAAACGAAACACTAAGGGCAGCCTCCGCACCAGAACAGAGACGGTGAGAATTTTACTTCTCAAGGGAATCAAGAGACAACTAAGCGATCAAAGAAATGCAATATACTTAAAATACGACAGACTAGCCTAGAAAACAGCTAAAAAACGGAGAGTACGTTCTTGACTTTTTAACTGAATATGGCCACAGATACAACCAGGTTCAGTGAGAGCTAACATTTTAAGATGACAACGACTTATACCACGGAAATTCCTACCCTAACTAAAATCCGAGCAAACAAGATCGAAATTAAGCCGACCGAAGGAATCGAATTGGGTGAGAAAAGGAAGGGATCGCAAACGGAACATGAACTTCATGAAGTAAATGCACATAGGATGTAAAAGAGACAGACAGGCAGTTTCAATCGAGTACCTCGACGTTGAGGCAATCACTCGACTCGATGTGCGAACGAATGACCTGCTGAATTACCAAAACTAACCTAAACTACGCCTACATGCAAACGAGATGTGTAGAACTGAAGCCCTTGGACATGCCGAAGCGCTGCCACCGCAGCCGCACGCTCTCCCACTGCGTCCAGATGTGCCGCTCCGTCTTCCAAGCTTCTCCTATTGACCGAGGCAGTCGAGATGGCGAATCATGAAAGTCCAGCGCACGGCCTTTGGATGGTGAAAAAGGAACCCCCCCTTTCCAGCAAAAGGCTTGAGGGGAGGACGGCTCCTCTAGTGTCGAGATCCTGTCAGGTATGAAGGTTGGTATGGAGGTCAGACGCGGAGCTGCCAGGATGCCTTGGAGTAAGAGTGCGAGGCACTCCCTACCCACTCAAGGGCTAGGCTACGCCAGGGCACTGTCGCCATAGCTCTCACACAGCTATGGTGCCTGGCAGGGTAGGCGCTTCGTGGAAAGGATCAGCGTCTACATGCCCCGCTGTTGCGTCCTACTCAGCCGACGACCGGGCGCCGCCACCGCCGCTATTGCCACTTCGTCAGCGCACGTTTTCGTGCGGTCCCCCCCGAGTCTAAACTGAACAACTTTTGCCTCAGGGTCACATCGAAATTCTTTGCGTAAAATAAAAAAAAGTAAAAAAATAAAATAAAATACTGAGTGGGGATCCGGGCCGCCCGGGTGACCGGCAGGGGCCCGGGGGAGGTCCTGGGCAACCTGGCCGGGCAGGGCACCCGGTTGGGGCCCGGGCCCCCCCAAGCGCACTCACCTGTCGGGGGATTTCGGACCCCTTTCCGACGCCCTTTGTGTGTGTGTGTGTGTGTGTGTGTG